ATAACACACACTACAACCAAAAGACGTTATTCCCTCAGGTATTTGAGAGTTGGTCGAACATGCTGCAATCATTACGCGGTTGAAATGACGTTGTAGGTAGTAACCGAAGCGTCTTCCACATTTTGCGGCTCACTGCAAGTCCTCAGTTAACTCAGAAACAAACATGAAGTCAGTTGTAATCAACAGAGTGCCCACCAGCCCGGGGCTCCCCCTTCTGGACGCCCACGTGGCGACGTCTCTACATCCTCATCCTCCTGTCCAGGTGGCGCCCGGTGTCAGTACCACAACTCTTGCCTTTCCTGTGGAAGAGCATCATTCCCAACCACTGTGTTTCCTCACTTCCCTGCACCGGAAATGACGTAATCAACGATGTAGGACAGGCTGGCGGTGCATGAGTGCACGGCTAAACCTCGGGAGCGCGGGATGTAATGTGCTACACTCCCCCGATGGTGCAGACACTTATCTCCCCACTCCAATTAACATACATTGCTTTTCTAAATAGCACTTTCCCAAGAAATGATTACCAGGTTGTGACTGGTGCTTGCTGAGAGAATGACATCTCAAACGTGGGTAAGGATATACATACACAGTTGACAAGTAACGTGGAGATACTGTTCAACATGCTTGTTAATAAACTTTAGTAGTGCTAGTGCGGTTTAAATGCAAACTATGATGCCGATGGTCGTGGGTTCGAATCCCAAATTCATCCCGTTCATGATCCTCGATAAACGTCAAATAAACCCTTGGTTACTGACATGTAACATATGAGAAATAAAGTAGCGTTGAGACCCCAACTTAAACACGTATTCGTTAGAGCAGTAACAAGACGTATCTTATTCTTGTTGCTTAACGCCACACCCGGCAATATGCCAGCTATATGACGGCGGTATGTCAATAATCGAGTCTGGACCAGATATTTCAGTGACTGACATCGTGAGCATCGATCAACGCAACTGGGATACGATGACATACGTCAATCAAATCAGCGAGCCTGACAACCCGATCCCGTAAGTCGCCTCTTACGACAAGCATGGGTTGCTGAAGATCCATTCAAACCCGAAGCTTCACAGGTTGCATACTGTTTCCAACGCAGTGAATTTAAATGGCAGTCTACGCACAATCCCCGCCAAGGCGGATGTAGACACGGGCACTGACGTGACAGCACCCGGTGAGTTGGTGCACGACGTGTTACAGGGTATATACATGAGTGACAGCACCCGGTGATTTGGTGCACGGCGTGTTACAGGGTATATACATGAGTGACAGCACCCGGTGATTTGGTGCACGGCGTGTTACAGGGTATATACATGAGTGACAGCACCCGGTGATTTGGTGCACGGCGTGTTACAGGGTATATACATGACTGACAGCACCCGGTGATTTGGTGCACGGCGTGTTACAGGGTATATACATGAGTGACAGCACCCGATGAGTTGGTGCACGGCGTGTTACAGGGTATATACATGAGTGACAGCACCCGGTGAGTTGGTGCACGGCGTGTTACAGGGTATACACATGAGTGACAGCACCCGGTGATTTGGTGCACGGCGTGTTACAGGGTATACACATGAGTGACATCACCCGGTGATTTGGTGCACGGCGTGTTACAGGGTATATACATGAGTGACAGCACCCGGTGAGTTGGTGCACGGCGTGTTACAGGGTATATACATGAGTGACAGCACCCGGTGATTTGGTGCACGGCGTGTTACAGGGTATATACATGAGTGACAGCACCCGGTGAGTTGGTGCACGGCGTGTTACAGGGTATATACATGAGTGACAGCACCCGGTGAGTTGGTGCACGGCGTGTTACAGGGTATATACATGAGTGACAGCACCCGATGAGTTGGTGCACGGCGTGTTACAGGGTATATACATGAGTGACAGCACCCGGTGATTTGGTGCACGGCGTGTTACAGGGTATATACATGAGTGACAGCACCCGGTGATTTGGTGCACGGCGTGTTACAGGGTATATACATGAGTGACAGCACCCGGTGATTTGGTGCACGGCGTGTTACAGGGTATATACATGAGTGACAGCACCCGGTGATTTGGTGCACGGCGTGTTACAGGGTATATATATGAGTGACAGCACCCGGTGAGTTGGTGCACGGCGTGTTACAGGGTATATACATGAGTGACAGCACCCGATGAGTTGGTGCAAGGCGTGTTACAGGGTATATACATGAGTGACAGCACCCGATGAGTTGGTGCAAGGCGTGTTACAGGGTATATACATGAGTGACAGCACCCGGTGAGTTGGTGCACGGCGTGTTACAGGGTATATACATGAGTGACAGCACCTGATGAGTTGGTGCAAGGCGTGTTACAGGGTATATACATGAGTGACAGCACCCGATGAGTTGGTGCACGGCGTGTTACAGGGTATATACATGAGTGACAGCACCCGATGAGTTGGTGCACGGCGTGTTACAGGGTATATACATGAGTGACAGCACCCGATGAGTTGGTGCACGGCGTGTTACAGGGTATACACATGAGTGACAGCACCCGATGAGTCAGTACCCTGGAGTGTTACTTGTCTTCATTACATTTGTTTCAAACTGTTAACAGGTCTCCAGCATAAAATGCTTGTCATAAGAAGCGACGAACAGATCGTTGGTCAGGTTCGCTGAGTGCGGCGTTAAACAACAAACAAACATATGTAGCCATCAACCATCAATCGTGTGGATGTAGTTCTCTACCAATACCTGTGTAGATGTAGCTAACTTTCATTACTTGTATAGATATAGCTAGCTTTCATTACTTGTATAAGTATAGCTAGCTATCATTACTTGTATAGGTATAGCTAACTTTCATTACTTGTATAGGTATAGCTAGCTATCATTACTTGTATAGGCATAGCTAGCTATCATTACTTGTATAGGTATAGCTAGCTATCATTTCTTGTATAGGTATAGCTAGCTATCATTACCTATGTATATGTAGTTATCTATTATTACTTGTAGAGAGGGCAGCCGTCTGACCAGTGAAGATTCGGGTAGAGAAAAGGTCTTCAGCAACCAATGCTTGTCGTAAGAGGCGACTAACGAGATCGGGGAGTCAGGCTCGCTGACTTGGTTGATGCACGTCATGAATATCCCAATTGTGTAGATCGATGCTCATGATGTCAATCACTGGATTGTCTGGTCCAGACTTGATTATTTACAGAACGACGTCATATAGCTGGAATATTGCTGAGTGTGGCTCACAACCACAAACAAACAAAACGAAGTTTATATCTGTCAATTAAGCAGATACCCTTGTCAACCGCTTTACTCGCTGGATCCAGTCATAATCATCAACACCCATATAGGCTCCCAAGTAGCTAGTTTCCTTTATAAACATCTAACTATTACAAACAGCAAATTTAGACACGAAATGTACTCAGAATTTGTATTAGAATTAACTGCACATTTTAATGAAAGTGAGTTGGGTTCAACACCGATTTAAACACTATTCAAGTTGTATGACGGCAAAATTTCGGTAAAGGTCACCATTCTCTCTTCAGAAGACACGAACATACTAAGTCAATGATTAGCCCACAACAGCATCACCCAAACTGGGGTAATCTCGCCTTTGTTTAGATTCGGCCACTTTCCCCCGGAAATATGACGTTTTGACAACAAATACCAGGAAGAGATCAACATTTAACACCGTCGAGGAAATGCCTCCGAACTTGTCGCAGGTGTGGACGCGAAATTTTTTCAAATATTTGCAAAAGTCGAAAAACGCGGATTTCTTAAGAAATCACTGACCGTGTTACAGAGGTTTTAAGGAATGTTTGGTTGTGAGGTCCTGGGGGAGATTATCATGTTCGTGCCAATTGGCAGAGGTAATAGTTAAAGAAAACGGACGACTTTGGAAGAGCAGTGTGACACTTTTCTTTCAGTTAGTTTACACACGGTCCGACAACCTTGGCCATCACGGGTGAGCTTATTCAGTTTCTCTGCTTACACACCCTCAGTTAAGACCGACATTGGTCTCCCTCTCAGACCGTCAGGTAAGACCGACATTGGTCTCCCTCTCAGACCGTCAGGTAAGACCGACATTGGTCTCCTATCAGACCCTCAGGTAAGACCGACATTGGTCTCCCTCTCAGACCCTCAGGTAAGACCGACATTGGTCTCCCTCTCAGACCGTCAGGTAAGACCGACATTGGTCTCCTATCAGACCCTCAGGTAAGACCGACACTGGTCTCCCTCTCAGACCCTCAGTTAAGACCGACATTGGTCTTCCTCTCAGACCCTCAGGTAAGACCGACATTGGTCTACTATCAGACCCTCAGGTAAGACCGACATTGATCTCCTATCAGACCCTCGGGTAAGACCGACATTGGTCTCCCTCTCAGACCCTCAGGTAAGACTGACATTGGTCTCCTATCAGACCCTCAGGTAAAACCGACATTGGTCTCCTATCAGACCCTCAGGTAAGACCGACATTGGTCTCCTATCAGACCCTCAGGTAAAACCGACATTGGTCTCCTTCTCAGACCGTCAGGTAAGACCGACATTGGTCTCCTATCAGACCCTCAGGTAAGACCGACATTGATCTCCTATCAGACCCTCAGGTAAGACCGACATTGGTCTCCCTCTCAGACCCTCAGCTAAGACCGACATTGGTCTCCTATCAGACCCTCAGGTAAGACCGTTATTGGTCTCCTATCAGACCGTCAGGTAAGACCGACATTGGTCTCCTATCAGACCGTCAGGTAAGACCGACATTGGTCTCCTATCAGACCCTCAGGTAAGACCGTTATTGGTCTCCTATCAGACCCTCAGGTAAAACCGACATTGGTCTCCTTCTCAGACCCTCAATAACAAAGCCTGGTACAATATCGCCCTGCGGGGTACCCCGTTTAATGGTCGATTTAAGTCTTTCCTTATCCCGTATTATGTAGCCAGTGTTAGTGTTTACATCTCCAGATGTAGCACTGTACTCACACATCGAACTATGCCGCTATGTGAAATCTATAGTAAACCGCGTGTACTCACGTCTCGGGTAGGACGGCTCCGGTGATGGTGACTCGTGGGGACTTGTGGAGGAAGTGGTCATCTCCAGACTGCCCCTAGCCATCATCATTCTTTCAAGTCGGTCCACCACGCCGGTCAAGTTGGCCACATACCCGTTCAGCTGGTTAAAGTGTTCGTTCAGAGACTCCGTGTCCTGGTTCTGCGAGTTGACCTGCTCTGTAACGAACTGGAGGTTGTGGCTCATTGTTTGCAACGCTTCCTTGGTGAAGTGGACATCTTCGTTGAGTTTCAACCACCTCCTGTTCTGCTTGGATATGGAACTGGAGTTGTCTTTGTCACTGATTGCAGAAAGAAAATATTTTTCTTCGAGTTTTTGCATTTTTCTCTCAATCATTTTGTCAACATCTTTGAGAAACCTCTGCATACATTTACACCTTCCCCGTTTTTTCTTGGGTTCTTTTGCAGCGAAAACTGTCAAACACAAACACGCCACAAAGAGGCCCAGGAGCAACCCACTCGACTTCATCTTGATCTCCTTGTAAAGGGTAATCTCCTTGTCAGTTGGAAAGTGTGAGTGGTCACGCGCCACACAGGTTACGCACGGCAATAATCCCAAAGTGCTGCTGATATTCGCCGACTTGACATGAACACCACGGGGTCAGCACACACCCGTGTATACCACCTCACTGATAAAACTGTCACAGAAATTCATGAAAGCAGAGACATTGTAATTTCCATGGGTGGACCACCCGAAAAACGTGTCGTTTCTAAACACTAAATACCTGGACAAATAATCCACAGTAATCCGACAGTGACCTGACCTCGTCTCTTTTAATCCGCATTAATCCTTATAATAATCCTGGAAACGATGCTATCTCTTAATCCGTGCCTCCGGTTTTCCTATTCTCACATCTTCTTTCCTCCGTGACCTGTGGACAAACAGATAACAGTTATATAAAGGGAATAGCAAAAGTCAGAACACATGTTTCATTCTGGCATAATAGTGACAGAACATTAACGTTTAAACATATACTCGCGCTCGTTCCCTTTGACACGCGTTACGAAAATCGTGTGTGATGGAACACAGAGTCTGTCCACCGTCAACTGATGAACTGCTCGGGACATGCTACCCGCAGGTGGAGGGTCTCGGCTGGGGATCATTACATTCACGTCCAAGGTACAACATGCGACTAACTCATCCGTCCTACTATCGCTAGTTTCATCGCATCTACTTGACAATCTCTACACAGTAGCAGTGCCCACACATACAATTACAACACAAATACATCTACGTTAATGAAGTTATTATTCCGATCTATGGAACACAGCCAGGCGAGGGTGATACAAGGCCAGGGCATGTTAAGGTATTTGCAGTATTGAATCTACCTATTGTGACAGCGGTTGCCGTGGACTGTAGCCGTGAATGCTCTAGACCCGCCGGCCAGGTGACCGCTAGTGAGTCGCATTTCATCTGTCTGCTTGTCTTTACCAGTGTGAAATATACACCCCCCCTGGCGCGAGTTACGCGGTACAGGCCCGGCCATAAAGACTTGTCACAACGTCGAGCCATAGTCATAAAAACGCCGTGATTAAGAATTGACAAGCTTTGAAATGAACAAGCAATTTATGAAATCAACATCAATCTTTATTGGACAAACACAAGCATACCAGTGGATATTTACGACCTCAGACAAACACTGGCTGAAAACAGTTGGTCAATGACAAGAGCGGTATATTGACACGCCGCTTCATCCTCACCCCCGACTAAACAACGAGGGTTTATTAACGTAAATAAATGTTATTGTCAAAGGGGATTGCCGCATGTTTTATGGAGAGCCGTCCAACATTCAGGAGACCTATAACATTCTCTCCCCATTTCAGAACTTCATATTTCGATTTAGTATCATTAATACCTTCACTTACCCTTAGACTTTATCAACCGTTCCTTTAAATCACGACCAGGACGAATGAAGTTTGAGATCAAACGTTTTAGTTAAGAAAATGAAAATGTGATCGTGAAATTGAAATTCCGCCGCGATCCATGAGACTACATCAATATCCATATGCATACCTAAACTTGGATCTGGTTTTTTTCATAAATCAATACCTTTAATCAGTGTCTTAAGATTTTTTCACAGAAGGTCGACCACGTTTTGTATGGAAACATGTATAATATATTACCCTAATCGTGTAAGATGGAATTACATGGTTTGCGATGAGGGCGCAGATTAGGTTTATACTTTAACTGTAATTTTTACAAACTCATCCATATTATCAGAAAACAACGACAATTAGGGTGTATTATCCTAATTACCCCGTGGGTTGCTAACATTAACTGTCTAATTAGGGCACAATTGTCTACTTCTTGGGGAGTCGCGCCATCTGACACGACAGTAATTACACAGGGCGGGTGGCAGGGAGGTCTGGCAGGGCACTCGGAGGTTTCCAACTTGTACCCTGCAACATCTGAGACGCCACCAGTCCCTCTGATGTATGGTGGCTGCAGATGTTTATTGCTGGACAGTGCCCTGGAACTGGTTGAAGTCCTAATGTGCAACACGTGTCAGAGTGGGGCGAGGCTATCTGGCGGATGACAGTGATGGACCTGAAAAGGAAGCGAGGTGGGGTTGGCCCAGCAGGTCAGATCGGGTGAGGTGAGATACACGGGATGGTGGTCGTGTGTGTGTGTGTGGTGATACACGGGGTGGGGGGTAACGTGTGTGTGTGTGTGTGGTGTATAAAATATGTAATATTGATTATTTTGTTTTTGTATGTGTCTACAGAAATGTAGATTATGTTTGTCTGTATATATGTATATATAAATCATAATGTCTTGTCTTTTAAAATTGCATCTGTCCCGTAATGGAACGTTTCTGCAATAAATATTATCTTATCTTATCTTATCTTACATGCGGTGGGGGTCATGTGTGTGTGGTGATACACGGGGTAGAGGTCGTGTGTGTGTGGTGATACATAGGGTGGGGGGTCGTGAGTGTGTGGTGATACACGGGGTGGGGGTCATGTGTGTGGTGATACACGGGCCGGGGGTCGTGTGTGTGTGTGGTGATACACGGGGTGGGGGTCGTGTGTGTGTGTGGTGATACACGGGGTGGGGGTCATGTGTGTGGTGATACACGGGGTGGGGGTCGTGTGTGTGTGTGGTGATACACGGGGTGGGGGTCGTGAGTGTGTGTGGTGATACACGGGGTGGGGGTCATGTGTGTGGTGATACACGGGGTGGGGGTCGTGTGTGTGTGTGGTGATACACGGGGTGGGGGTCGTGTGTGTGTGTGGTGATACACGGGGTGGGGGTCGTGTGTGTGTGTGGTGATACACGGGGTGGGGGTCGTGTGTGTGTGTGGTGATACACGGGGTGGGGGTCGTGTGTGTGTGTGGTGATACACGGGGTGGGGGTCATGTGTGTGGTGATACACGGGGTGGGGGTCATGTGTGTGTGTGTGTGGTGATACACGGGGTGGGGGTCATGTGTGTGGTGATACACGGGGTGGGGGTCGTGTGTGTGTGTGGTGATACACGGGGTGGGGGTCATGTGTGTGGTGATACACGGGGTGGGGGTCGTGTGTGTGTGTGGTGATACACGGGGTGGGGGTCGTGTGTGTGTGTGGTGATACACGGGGTGGGGGTCGTGTGTGTGTGTGTGGTGATACACGGGGTGGGGGTCGTTTGTGTGTGTGGTGATACACGGGTTGGGGGTCGTGTGTGTGTGTGGTGATACACGGGTTGTGGGTCGTGTGTGTGTGTGTGGTAATACACGGGGTAGAGGTCGTGTGTGTGTGTGTGGTGATACACGGGGTGGGGGTCGTGTGTGTGGTGATACACGGGGTGGGGGTCGTGTGTGTGTGTGTGGTGCTACACGGGACGGGGGTCGTTTGTGTGTGTGGTGATACACGGGTTGGGGGTCGTGTGTGTGTGTGGTGATACACGGGTTGGGGGTCGTGTGTGTGTGTGGTGATTCATGGGACGGGGGTCGTTTGTGTGTGTGGTGATACACGGGACGGGGGTCGTTTGTGTGTGTGGTGATACACGGGGTGGGGGTCGTTTGTGTGTGTCTTGATACACGGGATGGGGGTCATGTGTGTATGTGTGTGGTGATACACGGGACGGGGGTCGTTTGTGTGTATGTGTGGTGATACACGGGACGGGGGTCTCGTGTGTGTGGTGATACACGGGGTGGGGGTCGTGTGTGTGTGTGTGGTGCTACACGGGACGGGGGTCGTTTGTGTGTGTGGTGATACACGGGTTGGGGGTCGTGTGTGTGTGTGGTGATACACGGGTTGGGGGTCGTGTGTGTGTGTGGTGATTCATGGGACGGGGGTCGTTTGTGTGTGTGGTGATACACGGGACGGGGGTCGTTTGTGTGTGTGGTGATACACGGGGTGGGGGTCGTTTGTGTGTGTCTTGATACACGGGATGGGGGTCATGTGTGTATGTGTGTGGTGATACACGGGACGGGGGTCGTTTGTGTGTATGTGTGGTGATACACGGGACGGGGGTCTCGTGTGTGTGGTGATACACGGGACGGGGGTCGTTTGTGTGTATGTGTGGTGATACACGGGACGGGGGTCGTTTGTGTGTATGTGTGGTGATACACGGGACGGGGGTTGTTTGTGTGTGTGGTGATACACGGGTTGGGGGTCGTGTGTGTGTGTGTGTGGTGATACACGGGGTGGGGGTCGTGTGTGTGTGTGTGTGGTGATACACGGGACGGGGGTTGTTTGTGTGTGTAGTGATACACGGGACGGGGGTCGTTTGTGTGTATGTGTGGTGATACACGGGACGGGGGTCGTTTGTGTGTATGTGTGGTGATACACGGGACGGGGGTTGTTTTTGTGTGTGGTGATACACGGGTTGGGGGTCGTGTGTGTGTGTGTGTGGTGATACACGGGGTGGGGGTCGTGTGTGTGTGTGTGTGGTGATACACGGGGCGGGGGTCGTGTGTGTGTGTGGTGATTCATGGGACGGGGGTCGTTTGTGTGTGTGGTGATACACGGGACGGGGGTCGTTTGTGTGTGTGTGTGGTGATACACGGGGTGGGGGTCGTGTGTGTGTGTGGTGATACACGGGGTAGAGGTCGTGTGTGTGTGGGGGGGGGGGGGGGGGGGTTGGGGGGGGGTCATCTGTCTGTGGTGGTACACGGGGTGGGGGTCGCGTGTGTGTGTGGTGATACACGGGACGGGGGTCGTTTGTGTGTGTGGTGATACACGGGGTGGGGGTCGCGTGTGTGTGTCTTGATACACGGGATGGGGGTCATGTGTGTATGTGTGTGGTGATACACGGGATGGGGGTCGTGTGTGTGGCGATACACGGAGTGGGGGTCGTGTGTGTGTGGTGATACACGGGGTGGGGGGTCGTGTGTGTGTGTGTGTGGTGATACACGGGATGGGGGTCGTGTGTGTATGTGTGTGGTGATACACGGGATGGGGGTCATGTGTGTATGTGTGTGGTGATACACGGGATGGGGGTCGTGTGTGTGTGTGTGTGGTGATACACGGGATGGGGGTCATGTGTGTATGTGTGTGGTGATACACGGGATGGGGGTCGTGTGTGTGGCGATACACGGAGTGGGGGTCGTGTGTGTGTGGTGATACACGGGGTGGGGGGTCGTGTGTGTGTGTGTGTGGTGATACATGCGGTGGGGGTCATGTGTGTGTGGTGATACACGGGGTAGAGGTCGTGTGTGTGTGTGTGTGGGGGGGGGGGGGGGGGTCATCTGTCTGTGGTGATACACGGGGTGGGGGTCGTGTGTGTGTGTGTGTGGGGGGGGGGGTCATCTGTCTGTGGTGATACACAGGGTGGGGGTCGTGTGTGTGTGTGGTGATACACGGGGTGGGGGTCGTGTGTGTGGTGATACACGGGGTGGGGGTCGCGTGTGTGTGTGGGGTGGGGGTGGGGGTCGTGTCTGTGGTGA